ATGTCTAAGTGTCATCTTAATTGAAGATGTATTTTTTATGTATTTGCTTTGTATATTTTATATGTGTTAATTCAAAGTATATTTTTATATATATGTATTGTATATATTAACGTATATTATTATCGAAATAAGAGCTTTATATTAAGAAAGGAAGAAAGAAGTAAGAGAAAAACTTAAAAAAGATAACTAAAAATAAAATGAATGGAACAAATTTAAAAAATATATTGGCTTCGGTAGAAAACAAAACTAAGAAGATGAAGAAAAAGAAGGAAAGCTAATAGATAAAGAGAGAGAAAAAGACATGATTTTTGTACAAATAATTATTAACTTTCCATTCAAATTTCTTATGTTTAGGGATTAATAGTTAATATTTCTATTTTAATGGAACTGTGTGCTACAAATATAAATATTTTCCTGCCATATTTGTCATATTGAATTTAATGCTAAAAATTTGTTATATTTCTTTTAAACTGTGACAGTTATGTAAAATCCCCTTGGATTTTTGATTAATTGTAAGGTGGATTTTTCCGTGGGTCCTCGCCATCTGAATCAATTCTGAACGGACAAGCCGAGATCATCTCACTTAGAAGCTGCTTTTCGGATTCTGCGAAGAAATTGAGGTTTGATACCATTTGTGTTCAAAATAGGATACCTCCTAGGTCATTTCTTTTCTCCCCTTCTGCTGTTATAGCTTCAACTTCTTTCTAATAGCTGCTTGCTTGGCTTCAAAGCCTTACCATTGAGCTTGGGTGACCATGAACTTAAGAAAAACTGAATAAATGGCAGACATATGATACTTTTTGGATTATTTTTAAGTTTTGACCTCCGTTGTGTTCCATAGGCAGAATTTTATGGTCAAAAATTAAAGTGTTGTCCATAGGGCAAACGATGGATAACACTTGAATAGCTCGTGGGACAAGCGAGGACAAACATTCAAGGAAAAAATCAGAAATAACATGATTTATAACTGATAATTGAAATATAGTCACAATTTTTTTAAAAAATAAATAAATTTATCTACTTTTTGGTGTAAAGATAAAATCTGAACAAAAATACCCTTAAAAATTCGCAAAAATTTCACCATAATATGTTAGAGTTTGAATTTTTTTACATATGAGATTCCAGAATAATGTGCTGGAGTTCATATATTATAAGTTTATACACATGAGTTTCATAATCTAGCATATTATGCTAGAACTTTTCATGTTTCAGATAGGGCGTTTTTGTCCAGATTTTATCTCCGAATAAAATATGAAGTTTTTCAATGATTTTGCAAATGGTTACTACTTTTAGATTAATTAAAGTCTAAAAATTGACTAGCACATGCTCTTTTCACAAAATTCAAGACCATTCACTTTAAGGATTGTTTGTTGGGAAATTTTCGTTCCTATACCATATAGGAAACTATATTACCAAATATGTTCATAGTTTGCATATTACCCTTCATGCTAATAGTATTTTTACAAAATATAGACAACGCATTAAATAATGAATCATTGTAGCTGTAGGATTCCTTATTTAGCCGCGCTAAAATTGGGGAATTAAATATTCTTCCAGATCTTCCACAATGCAAATCACGCACATTCATAATTATCGTCGGTTTCATTTCAAATTTTCCATACTCTGTTTTTGCGATACACTCTGTATGCGATACACTCTGTTTTATGCGAATTTGTCGAATAACGCAATTATGTCGAATAACGCAGAAGATTTGTATACAATCTGTTTTATGCGAATTTGCAGAAGATTTGCGCATTTCGATGTAATCAAGCACATTCATAATTGCGTTTTTTACAGAAGAGAGCAGCAATTCCACCATTGACAACCATTAAAAAGCTTTGAAGCTTTGAATTCAAATTTGAATTTTCAAAAATCATTATTTGTTTGGATTGGGTGTTGTTGAAAATAATTGGGAATATGTTTGGAGTTTATATCTCAATTTTGAGGGGTTTTGGTGATGATTAGACTTGGTTTTGACTGAATTTCAGATTGAAACTCGAAGAAGAAGAAGAAGACATGACATATATTATATTGCAGAAATTGTAAAAAATTTGTAGATTGTTGTTTATTTATTTTTCTTTTATTCATTTACCTATTGTATGAAACTGGAACAACATTGTATAAAAATTGTATTTAAGTGGATGATTTAGTACTGTTTTGGACAAAAATATGTATCAAAAATGTGAAACATACATTTCAAGGGAAGCATGTCGAGTTCAAATATGTACCTAGTTTGTAGATATTTTGTAGATAAATTGTAAATTATTTGTATTATGATTGTAGATGCTTTATTTTCTGTTTTCACAAATAAAAAATGACTAAAACTTCTACAAATCTTCTGAAAAAACGCAATTATGTCAAAAATCCCAATTATGCCACAATTGATTGGGAATTGGGATATTAAAATTTAATGTACCCAGTTTATAGATATTTTGTAGATGAATTGTAGATTATTTGTATTCTGATTGTAGATGCTTTGTTTTCTATTTTCACAAATCAAAAAAGACTAAACTTCTACAAATCTTCTGCAGAAAACGCAATTATGTCGAAAATCCCAATTATGCTACAATTGAATGAGAATTGGGATATTAAAATTCAATGTACCCAGTTTGTAGATATTTTGTCGATAAATTGTAGATTATTTGTATTATGTCGAAAATCCCGATTATGCTACAATTTCTGGGATTCTCCTATATGCTCTTGTTACTCCTTACGAAACTGCTATGCTAAATATGGAATCCAAAAAAAACATGATGAAGGGATAGATCTTCCTAAGAAATTTTGTAGATAATTCGTAGAAACATTGAAATTCTGTATTTTCATATTAATTTTTCAAATGATATGTAGTTTTGTTGTGGATTAAATGTAGAAAACAAGCCATTGTGAGTCTTATTTGACCCATTCCTCACATTCAACCTATTCTACAAATTCACGTCTCTTTAAATACAATACAACCATACTTTCTTGAATTTAAAGGTATAGTAATATATATATATATAACTTAAAAAACATCTTCTCCTCTGCACAAGTTAGCTCCAAAACAGACGAAGTGGAATAACAAGCTCCCATCAAAACTTTTAACACAAACACACAAAGCTCAAAAATAAATAAACAACAGTCTACAATTTATCTACAACTTATGCAATATAATGTATGTCATGTCTTCTTCTTCTTCTTCTTCTTCTTCTTCTTCTTCTTCTTCTTCGAGTTTCAATCTGAAATTCAGCCAAAACCAAGTCTAATCTTCACCAAAACCCCTCAAAATTGAGATATAAACTCCGAACCATATTCCTAATTATTTACAACACACTCAATTAGGGGTGGGCGTTCGGGCAGTTCGGTTTGCATATGAAATTTCGGCTTGGATTTTCAGTTTTCGGATTGACGAAATGACAATCCAAATCCAATCCAAATAACTTTGGTTTGGATATTTTGAATTTTCGACTTTGAGCTTATAAGTCGAGATGTCTCTTCTTTTTACAAAAATGAATATCCAAATGAAGTACTCATGTTAAATTGCCTGAAAAGTTCTTCATTCTCACCGCAATCATCCAAATGAAATATTAAAGTAATGAAATTATTATATAAAAAAATAAAAAATACAATAGAGACGTTAATACGACAGATAAGAAGTGGAAATAGTAAAACCATGTCCAAATAGAAAGTATTCTCATAATAACTTAGTAATTAATATTGAATATATATGATAATATCTAATGGGCAGGGTATTGAACTTATTACTATTGACATATGAATAATGGACTAAATATAAAGTATAAGAATTTTGGATTTTCGGATATCCAAAAATTCGAAGTACCAAATCCAATATCCAATCCGAAATCTAAAAATTTTAAAAATTAAATCCAAAATCCAATCCGTAATCCGAAAATCCAAACCAAAAATCCAAGAAATTCGAATTTCGGTTTGGATTTCGGGTTTGCCCAAAGTATGCACACCCCTACACTCAATCCAAACAAATAATGGTTTTTGAAAACCCAAATTAGAATTCAAAGCTTCAAAGCTTTTTAATGGCTGTCAATGGTGGAATTGCTACTCTCTTTTCCTTTCCTCTTATATTACTGAAATTTGGGATTGCGAGATAGAGAGAGACGTAGAGAGAATTCTCAATTCTTTGCAACAACATCCAATCCAAACAAACAATGTCTTTTGAAAATCCAAATTCGAATTCAAAGCCTTGGCTATGGAAGAAATAATGGGATTTTGATACATAAATCGTGGGTGTGGGAGGAAAACATGAGTGAAGATGTGGGAATTGGAGAGAGAAACGTGGGGGGAGTGGTATTAGAAGGAATATACGGTACCATTAAATTAGGAGTGTAATTAATACCCTTAAAAACCACTAATGGTATATAATTGGTAATTAGGTATACTAAATGTAATTATATCAAACCTTAAACATTGAGGGTAATACAATTTCTTATATGGCATAGGAATTTAAAAATTCCTTGTTTGTTTACTCACCCGAATCCAAGTTGTAGTGGGATAAAATTCACAAATAGCCACTTTTAGTTTTTGTAATTGAAAAAATAACCACTATCATGAAGTTCCAAATACACGAGTGAAATTCTAATTACATTGTCATGGAGTTTTACCTCCTAATTTGAAACTCTATAATAATGATTATTTTTCAATTACAAAAGTGAGAAATGGCTAGCTCACACCCATGTCTGGTCCATTTAGGTCATATGGACTGAACAAATTTTGAGCGAATGCCCAATATAGTGAGTGACTCAAGCCTGCTTCATCAAAGCCCAAATCAAATTTTACCGTTAACCACGTGATCGAGTTAAAAAGAAAGTACCCATATTATTGGCTATCTCTGAAGGACATAGTAAGTCAAAAAGAAGTAAATATTAAAGAGATCAATTGAAATATTGTTGAAAATATATAGAGCAGGCAAGATGGTCAATTACAGTAAATTATAGGCTCGTGATCTAGACCAAGTGAGGTGCATCAAAGATGAGGATTGTAGAGTAATAATGGAAGAAGCACAGATCAAGCGAAGGTGGCAGACATACTTCCATGAACTCTTGAACGAAGAGGGGGATAGGAACATTATGCTGGGCGATTTGGAGCACTCCAAGAGTCGTTGTGATTTTAGGTATTGTAGGCGCTTTAGTTTTGAGGAGGTCGCGAGGGTGGTGCGTAAGATGAGCAGGGGGCAGAGCGAACGGGCCGGATGAGATCCATGTTGAATTCTGGAGGTATGCGAGTAGGGCTAGATTTGAGTGGCTAACTGGGCTATTTAACGCTATTTTTAGGATGAAGAAGTTGCCCGATGAGTAGATGTGGAGTGCGATGATCGCATTGTACAAGAACAAAGGTGATATCCAAAATTACAACAATTATAGGGGTATCAAGTTACTTAGTCACACTATGAAAGTTTGGGAGAGGATGATAGAAGTGAGGGTTAGAGGACGGTGTCTGTTTTCGAGAACCAGTTCGGTTTCATGTCAGGACTTTCGACTACGAAAAGCCATCCATCTTGTTAGCAGGTTGGTGGAATAGTACAAGGATAGGAAGAAAGATTTGCTTTATTGACCTAAATAAAGTGTACGACAAGGTTCCTAGAGAGGTTCTTTGGCGATGCTTGGAGGCTAGAGGTGTCCCTATAGCATATATTAGAGTGACTAAGGACACGTATGATGGAGCTAAGACTCAGGTGAGGACAATGGGAGGAGACTCAGAACATTTTTCGGTTGGGATGGGGTTGCACCAAGGATCTGCGCCCAGCCCATTCTTATTTTCTTTGGCGATGAATACGCTGATGCATCATATTCAAATGGAGGTGCCATGGTGTAAGTTATTCGCTGACAACATATTGCTGATTGATGAGACGCAATGCAGTGTAAACGACAAGTTAGAGGTTTAGAGACTGACCTTAGAGTTTAAGGGTTTCAGGTTGAGCAGGACTAAGACGGACTACTTAGAGTGCAAGTTCAACGACGTGGCGGTGGGAGCTGGTATAGACATGAGGCTTGATTCACAAGTCATCCTCAGGAGAGGAAGTTTCAGTTATCTCGGATTAGTTATCCGAGCAGACGGGGAGATCGACGTGATTCTTATAAACTTTATACAGTTGGTCGTAGTAGTGAAAGTAATTGTTATTACGTAGGAGGATTTTATTTGGGAAACTTACACAAATGCTCCAAAAAAGTCTCAACTTACCAACCTCTAGCCATTAGTCGTAGGTTTACCAAAACTAGCCAAGCACATATAAAAGTTGAAAAACCAAATAAATAAGGTCTTATTTCAAAGAATCACATGCAAAAATCTCCTTCCATATTTTTAAGCGTGATTAGCAAAATTAGATACAAGACGAAATGAAAATTTAATGGATGAGGTAGCAAATAAGGTGATGAAATAGAAGAATTTATATACAATATTTCAAAAATCTAAGCAAAATAGGAACTTTTTCATTGGGTATAGTTGAAATTCATTGAAACATACAGATAAGTCAATATACGAAATGTGAGGAAGATTGGAGGTGATTTGGACTGGTTTTGCATCAAAATTCATAATTAAATTGAGTTCAAAACAATTCTTCTACGATACATGTATCAAACATGTATCTCACACACAGGTACGCATGGGTATACATGTGATACACGATTGATAACACATATGATACATATGTGATACATAAATGATACACAGTGTGATACACATATCATTTTTTTTTTCACGTTCAGTTTTTACTTTGAATTTTCAATTCAAACCACCTCAAAACTTCACCAAATAGTTCCAAAATTGAGATTTAAGCTCCTTAAGATGTATCCAATCTATTCTAATAACACCCCCTTAAAAAATATTTGACCTTTTTTGTTACAATTAGCTAATATTAATAACATTTGGCTAATATTAGTAATATTTTATGAATTGATCAATTTTTGTAATGAGCTACTTATAAATGGACATAGCTGGCAGTTTTCCTTTTAGTTTTGAGTGCATGAACAATTTGGATTTTTGATTAATCGGGTTGAGTTTGAGTGACCATAACTTAAAGCAGAAATATGATACTTTTTGGGTTATACTTAACTTTTGACTCTCGCTTGTCCCATAAGCAGAATTTTAAGGTAAAAAATTAAAAGTGTTGTCCATAGGGCAAGATGAAAATACCTGTTAAACTTGAAGTACTGTTGATGGGCAATCGGGGACAAAAAATCAAGACCATCTACTTTGAGGGCTATTTATGTACTTCACCTTAATTGAAATTGTAATGGGATAAATTCACAAATAGACACTTTTAGTTTTTGTAATTGAAAAATAGTCACTATCATGAAGTTCCAAAATACAGAAGTAGAATTTTAATATTATTATCATGGCATTAATTTGAAACTTTATGACATTGATTTTTTTTGAATTATAGAAATAAAAAATGGTTAGCTCGGACTATTATACTATGTTGGCCATGCTTGATCCATTTAGGTCATACGGACTTAAACTCATTTTGAACGGACGCCCAACTTAAGGAAAATGACACTGTGTAATCGCTATCAAAATAATAGCGAAAAATTATATTATATATATATAGATATATATATATATCGTAAATTATATACAAAAATTATATAAAATTTATGTATTTTTTTGGCTACCAAATGTAAATAACTTCTGACATGGGTTAAAAGTGAAAAAAACCCAATGTAGTGTCTCAAGCCTGCTTCTTGAAAGCCCAAATCAAATTTTGCCATTAACCATATGATCAGGGTTAATAAGAAAGTACCAATATTATTGGCTGTCTCTATCTCCGAAGGGTCATAGCAAAGGCAAAAGGAGGTAAATATTAAAGATACTAGTTCTTGGATACGTGCGTTGCACGTGTATCACTGAAATGCATATTTTGAGGTTGATTTAATAGTTCTCCATAGTGTTTATTCTTGAGTAACCGTATGCTAAGCCCCTACCATTAATTTGGCTAATTTTAAATTTATAAACAATTTATAGTGACATAAGCTTATCATTTGGTCATGAGTTTTTCTAAAACTATTTTGTATATATAGTTGAAAATTTCTTCTAATATGTTAATTGTTTACAACCATCATGTGTAATTTTATATGATTTCTTAATATTAGAAAGTACATATAAGATTGACATACTTGTATTATGTTAATAATGTTTTAACATATTGGATTGGCATTTTATTAGTTAACTTTCCCCAAATATGGCTCAATACGCAAAAGTAATTAAAGTTAATACATATATTGTAATTGATCTAAATCACTGTTAAGAGTTTGAATTTTCAAACCATTCAAAGTAATACCCAAATATTGAAATTGTTATTCTGCTATTTAGCTAGTATTTTTTGCAAAATATTTTTGCATTTTATCGATAAAAGATACTACCCCGAGTTTGAGGAGAGTTTATGTGTAAAATTTGTTTGTTGAATGGAGGTGAGTTCAAGACTTCTTTGATCGGCAAATGCATGCACTTATTTTCACCAGTCCACACCAATAAGCATGCAAGCAAGATTTTGTAAAGATAGATGTCTGGACCGAGTAGTGATTGGCATTGATGCAAAGCCGATAAAAAATATATTATCACAACATATATAATGCGAAAACAAAAGTTGTACCAAAATTACTCAACATCATCAAATTTATATTCTCGCTCAAATTTAAGCAACTACTCTTGTTATTAAAAAGTAACGAAGAATGATGTAGACAATTATATTCTTCAACTATGAGTTAATCCCCAAGATATTATCCAGCACCACATATAAATATCAAGATTAATATTTACAGTTTTTCCAGACTCTCATCCTGCATCAGCAGCCAAAATCCTTGTCATTTGAGATAAAATCAATATTCACGTTGAAATTGGAAAAGAAAAAAAAAATTATAGAAGCAGGGGTAGATATATTTATATATTTGGGTGCTAAAAGTTTTACATATATATGATTGAAGTAACAGTTCTAGGTCCTAATTAAAGCATTTTCAGATAAGAAGTATGCCTATCTCTCAAAATGTTAATGCTAAAACACAACATTTATAAGACAACAATTTCAGGTTTGATAAAACAAAAACGAAAAGACAAATACGACTGTGAAAATATGGGAAGAAGTAACCATGTGATAACTAAATCGTTACTTGACCATACTTTCTTACAGTATCGATTAGACAATCAAATAGGATAATACTCGGGAAAAAAATTGCAAAACAGTGTGTTAAAGGAAAAAGAATCATGTTAGAAAGAAATGTCACCTACCTCGTTTGTATTGGTGCAATTCCTAGCTAGTAGAGTTCTATTGGATTATTTAAGTCTTTTAAAACTTCTAATTTTGGTCTTCCCACTTATAATATAATACTAGATTTAGTGTACGCGCTTTGCGCGTGTATCCTATATAAAAAAAACATAAACTTTTAAAAATAACATAAATAATACTCAAATGTATCTATGTTATAAAACAAAGATTAACAAAAAAAATCACAAGTTCCTAAAAATAATAAATGTCAATCATATGTTTATGGTTTGTATCCGCTGTAGCGATTCTTTCTTCCGGTTTGTTTTTATTAATTGCTTCATTGTGCAAGAACGTTATGGAGTGATGTTTGATTAAAAGATAAAGAGGTTGTTGGATCTTACATATGATATGATACCTTGCTAAGTATACTGCTTTTATTTCATATTAGTTTTCAAAAAAATTAAGTCTGATAGATTATTGACAATTGAAAATATTATTCATATTTTACTTAATTTATGAGAGCGCTAGCTTGTATCCTTATTTTAATTATGCTTTTAGGCATCGCAACTCGATAAATACTAATCGTTCTTATAAATGATATCTCGGTCGTATCTTACTCTACATATAATGCCTTTATAAAGTACTTTATATTACACATGATGAATTACATAATATAATCATTTTTATTCCTATTAAGTGAGACAAAATTATACAGCTTTTATTAAAAATAATTTTCATATCTTATATTTGTAAGGCGAATACTAAGATTGTACTTATGATATTGACTAATTAGATGAATGTTGAGAGGAATTAGTTTATCCTACTTATAAGCTTAGTGAAAAATATTCTTATTCATTGTTTGATTTGTATTGTAATTGATTAGATTAAAAGTAATGGCATATAAGACTAAATTTAAAATATAAAAAATTAAGAAAAAATCTCGGATACATGATTAAGATGAGAATAGATAAGAAATAAAATNATGATAATAGATAAGAAATAAAATATAGAGTAATGCATTAATAAGTCACAACAAAATAATATTCTTGAAACAAAAACAAAACTTAAGATACAACTTACGAATTTAAAAAAAAAACGAAGGTCACGTACACACACAAAAAGTGAACAACAATTAAATGGGAAGTCAAATAGTATTTGGTTCAAAGTCCATACAATTAGGTTGTCTAATTTTGGTAAAATCATATTTGATTTTGAAATTCTAAATTTAGACCTTTTTACATAGTGTAGTATTTAATATACAAATTAAATTAATTTTGAAGCCTAAATTTTAGGCAAATAACTTAAATTACTATTTTATCCAATATAAATTATATTTTTAAAGGGTAAAAAAGGCGAACGACATTTCGCTAAGGGCCTTCGTGCTTTTAATATAGTATATATACATATATACATATCTATATATATATATATATATTGAAAAATTATTGCAAGGAATAGAGAAGGCAAGATGGTCGATTACTGTAAATTATACTTTTAGTTAATGCAGCTTAAAATTATGAGGTAAGAGCGAAGGTATAAACATAGAGAAGGCATCAAACACTTCATAATAATTAAAACTATGATTTAAATAAATTAATTATCGATAGATCCTTGTAATCCGGTCCTTCTTCGAACCCCGCGCATAGCGGGAACTTAGTGCACCAGACTGCCCTTTTTAATTATCAAAG